AGCACGACGACGATGACTGGCACCCTGTGGAGTATTTCAGCCACAAAGTGCCTCCCATCAACTCGCTTGATGATGCAAGGAAGAAGGAGCTGCTCGCATTCGTCATGGCTCTCAAGCGATGGCGGCACTTCCTCCTTGGGCGTCGTAGGTTTACATGGGTCACGGACAACAATCCATTGACTTACTACAAGACGCAGGATACGGTGAGCAGCACGATCGGACGATGGATGTACTTCATCGACCAATTTGACTTCACACCGAAACATCTGCTTGGCCTCTCAAATCGCGTAGCAGATGCACTCTCGCGAAGACCCGATCTTTGCACTATGACACATCATGCCTTCGCATTCGACGAGGAGCTTCAGCGACACTTCATCCGGGCATATCAGTCTGATCCGGACTTCGGCACGCTCTATGCACAACTATCTTCGGATCACCCGCCGACCAACCATTACCGCATTGCCGACAGGTACTTGCTCCTCCACTCGAGAGGCAAGGACTTACTATGTGTCCCACGCGACCGTCGTCTTCGGACTCGCCTCTTTGGCGAGTATCATGATTCACGACTCGCCGGCCATTTCGGAGTCAACCGCACTATTGCACGGCTTCGACAGCGATTCCGATGGCCCGACCTCATTACCGATGTCACTCRGTATTGCGACTCTTGCGAAGTTTGTCAACGCAACAAGCCCCGCAACCGCAATCCCTACGGCGAGTTACACCCGATGCCTATCCCACGGGAACCCAGTCTCTCCATTGCCATGGACGTCACCGGTCCGTTTCCTCGCGACCGGCTCGGGCACGACGGCATCCTCACGGTTGTGGACCGATTGAGTAAGTACGCGCGTTTTCTGCCTTGCAAGTACTACTCCACGGCTCCCGAGCTGGCACGCCTCCTGCACACTGGTTGGATTTGTGGCCACGGTGTACCAGAAGACATTGTCAGCGACCGCGACACTCGTTTCATGTCGGCATTTTGGACTGCTCTCATGCAGGAGTCCGGCACAACGATGAAACCAAGTTCGTCTCGACATCCTCAGACAGACGGGCAGACGGAGCGGGCACATCAAACCGCTCAAATGATGCTTCGTACGCTCATTCGTCCGGACCAGAAAGATTGGGTTGACCGCCTCCCCGACATCGAGTTCGCCTACAACACTTCGGTGCACCCGGCGATCGGCGTGACTCCATTCGAGTTGCACCACGGTGGACGGAAAGGCCGCATCTTCGCCAACCTTCTCCTCCCTCGACCAGCCGACATTGACGCCGCTTGCTCCCCCGCTTCCGTTCGGAAGTACAGGGACTTGCTGACTCAAGCCCGCGCAAATATGCAAAAGGCTCAAGTTCGCATGCAGCAGCAAGCCAACAGGCGTCGCGTACCATGTCGCATCCGCGCCGGTGATCTGGTTTGGGTCTCCGCGGAAGAGTTTGCACTCGAACGGGACGTTTCACGCAAACTGCTTCCAAAGTGGTTTGGACCTTGGTCTGTGACAGCAGCCGCGGGCGATGAGCCCGATGGCCCTTCATTTGTGATCAACATTCCAGACCATCTGACGGTCCATCCGGTCTTCCACGCCTCGAAGCTGGCAACATACACGCCAGCCAAAAGTGACGACTTTCCGGGCTGACGATCGCAGGACCCTCCTTCTATGGATGGCCATCAGGAAGTTGACCGCGTCATCACCGATTGCAAGTACGGCAGCAAGCCGCGGCAGTACAAAGTCACATTCAAAGCATGCGATCGCGACGACACTCGGTGGATTTCAGGAGCAGATTTGAAAGCATCCGCACCACTGATCTACGCTCACTATGAACGTCAAAGGTTAGCCAAGGGACCTCCACGACCTGCCCCTCCCACCCGGACWGTGGYCCCTCCCTCAGACAGACAGCTTCGCCCTCGCAGGTAAGCTCGGTCTTTCAAGGAGGGGGGGGTGTGGCAGACTGCGTAGCCACACGGTCCCTGTAGGACCCGTCCCGGACATTCAGCCTAAAAGCCTAAAACTTAGGAGCTACAGGCCCCGGTCGTTTCAGCCTGAAAACTGAAAAACGAGGGCCTGCA